ATATGACGAGGCTGTTTGAATTTTAACCGTTAAACGAAGCAGGTCAAATTCAGTGTATGAAAAAAATTAAAATATCCCAACATACAATATTTAATAATGCGACATCTCATTTACAATATAAATGAAAATAAAACAACATTTCTTTTGAAAATATATTACTGGAAAATAACCATTTTCAACAATCGCAAATGTTCTCAGAAAACAAAAACAAAATCTGCTATCTAACAAAAATGCAAAATAAATGAACAAATAGACAAGAGCATATTCCATATATCTACAGCACTATACTTATACTTTATACAGATTGTTGATTTATATAGGTTCATTTTTGTGAAATGACATATATATATGCTATGAATTTGAATAAAAATACCTTAAATATTTTTACAAGGTAGAAAGTATATTTTCATTCACAAACATTTTAAACTTTCATTCAATATTTACTCTGTAAATGAAGCTACTTTATAAAAAACAAATTCACTTTTGTGTGATGAAAATTGCATTTCAAACATACAAAAAATATATCTTTTTTTTTCAAACGAAATATCATTTTCTGTGTTTCCCATTAGTGCCTCCAGTAAAAAGTTTTTTCAATGTTAAAGGTTAATCTTATTTAACTCATAAACGAATATAAAAAACGGAAAAAAACCGAGGTTGATAGCCGTGTCCCGTGGTAATGAACCATTACAGATTAAAACACAATAATTGTTTTTGGAGGACAATTAACATGATGTTTACGGCGAAATGTATCTTGATGTATAGTCAAACCAAAAGGTAACGTTTGATCCGTCAGAGAGAACTGAGACTTTAACTAGTAAAAACTGGCTTGTGCTAAGGAAGCCATACTTTGTTAGAATTTGTAGCAGCAATATGGAAATTTTTAAAGAATCTTAAAGAAATAAAGTTTTTAAAATTGAAATCGTGATTGATTAGGACAGAGACAGAATGATAAATGATGCATACTTCTAAGTGTTCCATGATAGATGGCGTTACAGTGTAGAAGCTTTCACACAACCCAGAATGACAAATCTCAATGCCAACGTCAGCAATCTGGCGAAACAAACGCATAGGTAACGCGGAATTTGAACGTCTGGGAAAGTCTTGATCAATAATTATAAACATTGAGATGATCTATTAAACTGATGTCTCGTGTGAATCGAAAAGAAGTTTGGACTAAGGAGGAACAAAAGATATGTGATTGTGCAACATATATACAACAGATAATAGATTCACGACTTTCGATGAAACTTGGTGATGAATATCTATTTTCCAACTCAGGGATTTAAAGGATAGAATACCAAAACAACGTTCACTGAATTCTAATAGACCATTTCTAGATTTCAAATACAACATTATGAGGATTCCGATTCACCATTCCAATAACTCATATACGAAATTGGTAGGATTCCAATTCATCATTGAAAAATTGCAATGCAAAATTGGTAGGATTCCAATTCATCATTGAGGAATTGCAATGCAAAATTGGTAGGATTCCAATTCACCATTGAAAAATTGCAATGCAAAATTGGTAGGACTCCAGGAATTGCAATTTTAATAATTCACCATTGAAATTGGTAGGATTCAATGCAAAATTGGTATTTCAATAATTGAAGAATTGCCAATTCACCATTGCACAATACAACATTATTGCAAGAATTATAACACAACATTATAAAATTGAATTCCAATTCACCAGAAAATTGGTAGGACAACATTATTGCAATGCAAAATTTTAACACAACATTATAAGAAATTGCAATGCAAAATTGACAACATTATAAGAATTTTAACACAACATTATATGAATTCTTTCAAAACAAAATTATAAGAATTATAACACAACATTATAAGAATTCTAAGACAACATTATAAGAATTATAACACAACATTATAAGAATTCTAAGACAACATTATAAGAATTTTAACACAACATTATAAGAATTCTAAGACAACATTATAAGAATTTTAAGACAACATTATAAGAATTTTAACACAACATTATATGAATTCTAACAATACATTATAAGAATTCTAAGACAACATTATAAGATTTCTAAGACAACATTATAAAAATTCTAACACATCATTACACACCAGAAATGTAATATATATGTACGGACTATTGTTGAGTTATATTGAATAAACATTCCTAAAACATTGTAACATTAAAAAACTTTAAGACGTCTGAGACTTCAGTCTCAGGACAATGAGGATCCCTTGTCTGGGATTTATGGGATATAGACAAAACATTTGTAGGATTCCGATCGAACAACAGGATTTTTATAAACATTCCTAGAATTGCGAAATAACTTTTGATTTCTGTAACTCCGATAAAACTACTTTGTTTTTACAAAAGAAATATCCCATGAAAGAATACTTATCAAAGACTGGACTATGATACACGTGTAAACAACGCTATAAAGTTCGTTTTCCTATGTCTCTTCAATATATCCAATTATAAACAATCACTTCAGTTGTGCTGTAGAAGACTGGTGAACACATACAAGTATGTTTACTTCTGCCAAGAGATTAATAGAATATATTTTTTATTGCTGATCTGATATTTCCTTGTTAACATGAAAGAATTCCAGTTACTTTTGTTTCTCTCGGGGGAGCTGATGTATAATATAAATAGCTGTTGTTTCAGAAGAAATGCACAGTACACCGAGGAAGACTATATTACAGCAATGATAAATATCCGTATATTGTAATCTCTTACTAGAAATAGAAGTACTCTGCTACATCTACTCTGAAAACTTACAGGGACCCTAGAGAGAAATTAATATCTTTGGGTTTTTATACCTCGCTAAAAAATGGAAATATATCTTATGCATGAATCAGTGCTACCAATGGAATAGGCTTTCTTGAACTCACACACAGCTATCGGGTCTGGTTCGTTTCGCCATTACGTGATACATGTCAAAATATTTGATTTAGTTAAAATTAACTCGTGCGGTGTACCGTAAAGATAAATGTTTATATTTTTATTGTCCTGTACTCAAGACAAAACTAGTCTACAGTCATCAATAATATATATTCAACAGTGCTGTTTTTCATCTTTTGGAAATATGGAGTGGCGTCCTCGTTATCATGGTCTCCATGCACCGCTAGGTTCTACTTCCGGAAATTATCACCATTAGTTACTGTCTGGTGTCCATGGGAACACGTGTCTTGTTGTTGGCTAGTTCTGTCGACACAATATGTTTTCTATCATTATCGACCGTTTGCTATTGATTCCCATTAGTTTCTGTCGCTTGCATACTCAGTACAAACCAATATTTATGATTTTGACAATATTTGCAATTTTATTTTCCTTTGCCAGTCAAATAGGATATCTAGTGTCGTTAATATTGTTGTATATGGTTAATTTACATGTCTCGGCATTATTATTTCACAAAATCAACTTCTCTGATCAATAATGATAATAGATAATATCACTTCTCACGAATTATTGTCAAAATGAGCATGCTTTTCAAGTAACGACCCGGGAAGAGAAGTAAAACATCGTAGTTTTTTTTATTTAAATTCTGTTGAATTTTTCGATAAAGTGATCACCAATACTACAGTCCAGGGTGCAAGTGGAATGAACCGTCAGTGATACTAGTGGAATAGGCAGTTTAAAACACAGGTGGAAAAGGCAATCCACAACACCATGGAAGAGACAATCCGCAACATAAATGTAGAAAGTAGTCCACGACAAAAGTGGAATAGGCAGTCAGCGACAGAGGTGGGATAAACAATCCACAACATATGTGGAATACTCAGTCAACAACATAGTGGATTTGGCAATCTGCGACATAATTGGAATTGACAGTCCACAACACCGTTGGAAAAGGCAGTCCACAACAAAGTTGAACACAAAGTAGTCCACGACAAAAATGGAATAGGCAGTCAGTGCACAACAGTCCACATAACGGGTGGAAATGGCGGTACATAACGAAAGTGGTATGAGCAGTTTACGTAAAATTGAATAGGCAGTTTACGTCACAAGAGGAATAGACAGTTTACGTCGCAAGTACAATAGGCAGTTAGCGTCGCAAGTATAATAGGCAGTTTACGTTACAAGAGGAATGGACAGTTTACGTTGCAAGTACAATAGGCAGTTTATGACACAAATTGAATAGATAGTTAGCGTCACAACAACACAGAAAAAATGTATTAGATAATATCAATTAAGTCATGTTTCTACATGTATAATCTTTTTACATCTTATTCCGTAGAAGACATATTAGGTTCTGTAGTATGACATTATACTGGAAAGACGGGGCTTTAGAGATGATTGAACTAATCGAGCTCAATCTGACTGGCTGGTTATTTTTCCTATTTCAATCAGGTGAAGTTGATCTGATAATTTGTTAATTTCGTTCTTATCTTTATAAAGGAATTTTGTTTCACCCAATAAGGTGAAATAGTAACCAGAAGAATGAAATCGTATCCTGTCGTGAATGTACAAATTGTTATCTTTATTTTTCAAACTATGCAAAAGTGCAAACTGGTAGAAATGTTTGGGAAGTAATTTAACGAATGCCTTCCTTTCCTTGTGTTCAATACCTTTTCTCGATTACATTAATTTTAGCTGGGTGATCAATGGCCGTCTTTTATGAAGGCAATAACAGCCCAGTCGTCAATGTTTGTAAAAAAATCCTATAGTAATTCACAAAACAGAGAAGTCGATTCACTTACACTACCAATGGAAGAATGCCTTTTTAGATATAATATTCTATTAACGACTGAAACGCCATACGTTGTCAGTACTAACAACACTCTCGCTATATATATATACATATTTACCACAAATATATTTTTCGTAACACAAATTATGAAATTCTTGTAAAACTGCAGAAAATGTATAACAGCCCGCCGGTCGATCTCTGCTATAGCGCTACCACTCGTCCCCATATCTATTTGACGGGGCACGCGGCTTGCCAAGACGATATGCACCTCTTCATAGCACGATATAGCGCTCTTTCAGACGGAAGTGGACAAGTTAGCTGGGCAAATTCGCTCACATTAGTGGATTAGAAAACCACTATGTTGGTGAGTGTTTTAAAATACTCGGACAGATGCCGACAGCTACAGGACGCTACAAGCGCTGCGATCTCAGCGGAGGGTACAGATGCTGATATACTTACACAAACATTGGCGTGAGGGGATTATCGCCAGAGGATGATACGGAAATGAATCCCCTCCCTACACGGACAAAGTGTGAAGTTACACGCGCGGGATAGACGTAGAAGGATATACTATAATGAAGGAATCGGTATTAACTTGTTTTTGTGAACTTTGGATCTTTTTGTGATTACTTCAGTACATCAAATTGAGGTGACAGTGCAATAATCTTTAAAAGCTACTTAATGATAAATTGACATTACGGTCTAAATTTGAACGAAATCCTGGTGACATTAACAGGAGAAAATGAATAGGATACGCATTGCTGTTTGGGAGTTTAATAATCTGAATATCTAAATGTATGAATTAATGTTATGATGCAAAACTAATATTGAATTGCATGGACATTCAGGATATAACGCGCTTTATGCTATATTTAGAAACACGAGACTATTGAGTTTCAATAGGTTATAGATATCGGACGCTCTTGCTGACGACAGCGATTTGTGCGGTGACCTGGTCCCAAGTACCACTCGGGGATTCACCAATGGTGTACAACATCCCACTTTGTTACTGAGCCGGAAGGTCATTCGCCGCCACACCACCCTAGCCACTAGGGGGCGGTATTCATGTGACAGTAGTCGGAGACTAATTATACCAGTCACTGTTCCACGATAAGGGGCGTTTTCTATGTTACCATGGTTTATTTCTTATTCAGATCTATCCATAGAATCGTTTAGATAGATTGAATGATACCTGTATTCTGATTTGACACTGATTTGAGTTGACGCTACAAAACGCCATGACGTCATTAATAGGTTGGATTGCTATCATTACGGCGCTAAGCTATGGGACTACAGCAGGTAAGTTTCTTTAAACAACAATTTTTTTTCAGTGACAACTACTGTATTCTCTCATGAAATGTTTACATTTAATTTTCATTGAGTAACAAAGCAAAATTATTGTGTGTAACAATATTCTTTGTGCTGCCAATTTGTGGTACAACGAAATTATAAAAGTGAAAGTAATTCACGTGCCTTTATACGTTATTATAGAATTCCCTGTGGTATAATTAAATGTGTATTCCGACTTTAGTTTGGGAACGCGCCTTTTGCCTACAGATCTCCAGAGGAAGGTGTATATCACTATTACCATCAAAGCATTTCTCGCTGTCTGGTTTAAACATCTTTTATACATTGTCATGACATGTTAATCATGATCCCGTTATGTTTATTTATGTATCACAAATGTTTATAAAACATACATAGCTGACAATTATAGCAACCGTTTATTTATAGGACGGATGGGTGGAGAATTTGTCCGTCACGTAGTCTGTGGTTCACACGGGAGGTATTGAGATTGTTATGATATACAGGAATATTTTCACCGTGTCTATATACCATTGTTTATGATATTACACATTCTGAGGTAATTATAAGACAATTAATCAAAGCAGCGATGTGTTTATATACAAACGGTTCGTGTTGTGCATCCCTCTCTTTGACGCCCCTCGTGGCGTTTGTTTAGGTAAGGCTGGAAACCTTTAGTGCAGGGAGCCATGAAGGGAGCTACCATTTGTTGGGCCTACGGATCAGTCAAACCTTACGTCTTTGGCAGCCATTGAACCATGGCCACGTGCCGATGTTCTGTGCAACGCCTTTGATCTTAAGGGTGTATGTGCATAGGCGAGACGTCTGTGGAAGATAATTCCTCTGGCGTGTTCACCTTCATTGAAAAACTACTCGTAGTGAAATTGACACGATCTTACGACGGTGAACTAAATTTGGATTCTGGAGTTTTTGGAATTTGTGAATGAAGATTCTAATCAGCTAACACAGTTCCTATCTCAATCGTTTTTATCTCCTATTTAAAATATCTCAATTTTAATTTGATTATCTTTAACTACCATAAAATCCAGTCTAAAATGTAGTGTTACTCTACTGGTCACTTTATGTACCTATTTCGACCAGAGAGGTTTTCTTCCCATACTCATAGATTTTCTTACCTGAACGACTTGGTGTGATACAATGATGTCAGAATTGTCAGTGATGGTGGCTGTAACATTTCAAAGACAATTTCAAGCTCTGAAGCGTTACTGACGTGTGTAAAACAAATTTAATATTGTAAACTCAAGCTACTGAATCTGATTGAATTGCCATTGACAACACAACAAGAATGCGTTAGGTTTGTTTGTCCCATATGTCTTTGCCAATGAGCATCAAGAGTGTTATAATAAGTGTATGATATCAACGCTCCCTGATGCAATATATATGCATATACATCAAACTATTTACAAACCTTTCTATATCTTGGTAGAAAACAAACAATGTTATGGAGAGAAAACTGTCAAAGACTGCTTATAAAATGCAGATAAAGGACGTGAAACATTCTACTGGCCTTGACGATTTCACTTGTAACAGATTATTTCGAATGTTATATAGATACGTATTAATTATCGGATGAAAACAAATATTTAGGTATAAAACTTAAGTCATTTATGTCTTTATTTCGTGTAAGAAAATTATACGTTTTCTATTAAAAATAAAATGTTTAGAAATATAATTGACATACATTCATACAATGAGGTCATAAGGTCGTCTAACAGAAGATACAGTTAGAACTAACAGCAAGGCGCCTCCCCTAGAACTGCTGCATTTTCTATCACCAAGTTGAACGTTTGTTCTGTCGCCCAGGCTGAGACACAAAATATATTTCACATTGTATTGGCCGATTTTGATGGCGCTGTCAACCTTTTTTATTTTGGATCATAAATTGTAATTTAATATTCATTCATATTTTCATTCAGGGAACTCTTTAAGTTCGGTTCTGAATATATACAAGGATCGGGAGGTTTAATGGTATAATAAAACAGACCCTTACTTTGGCCCCATTTATCAAATGGTTTAAATGTGTTGATGTGATGTTTAATAGCCGAACCAACAATTCAATGGAACATGACGCCTCATTAGTATTTATCTTTATCAACAGAAAACAGAAAATTCCGTCTCATACACAACTCAACTTAAATATACTCGTGATACATGTACATACATACGTTTTATTGGTAGCTCTGACTCTTAACTCCAGCAGGGCGGGTCCTGAAACAAACCAGATACGCACTTTAATCTATAAATACACGTAATGCATGCTTACGTGCAATTTTGTCTTTAGATTCCGTTTCAGAATGTCAAACACTTCGGTCTTGTCCTTTTTCAAATTTGCACTTAAAACTAGACGGCATATATCCATGGCAGTTCCTGGTGGTTTCTTTTTTCTAATTTGTTTTCATTAATTGACTTCAATTTCATACTTTGAAGCGAATATAATTATTAGAACTCGCTATTTATATCTAGTAACTGTCTCTAGGGTGTTTACTTTCGCGGTTTAAAGTTTCGTACTTTAGAGAAAACACGATGTCTCGAATGGCATTTTCAATTAACTTAAATGTTTTTATCGGCTCCATTGCTATCTAAACGGAGAGTTTTGAAAAGGCGTAAGCTCTGTAATTCCATCACCGAAATTGCGAATTCTGCTCCCCTTGAAGTAGCAGTCATATTCTACAAATCATTTTGGAGTTTCTTTCATCAAAGTCCCAACGGCCTTTGATTTAGAAAGATTAATTTCATTTTAAATGACATATATCTATCATCACGCACGAGTCTGAAACACTGGAGAAGACATACGTGGTGATGTGTGGGCTGGAATTGACTGCGTTATAATGGTACAAAATGGCTATGCATCAAAGTAATGTAAAATTTGTTTGATAACCCATCATTCCGAAATGAGAGCAATTTTTTTTGTTTATGAAATACGATATGTCTTCTTAGGTAACTAGTTAATGTGAACCGTCAATATCGATAAGTGTAGGATAAGGAGCGATAAGGTTGTGCGGTAGTGCGAGTGTTGCAGAACAGCGACACGCTGCTGCATGTCTTGTAACCCGAACTGTTTCCTGGCGAACAAATCAGGCATAGGCGGTGTGTGGTCACTGATCACCGTCGTAACCAGGGTGTGGCAAGATATGTCCAAACTGGTGTGTGGCCACAGATGGCGTAAGCGGTATGTAGTCACTGATGTCCATACTGGTATGTGGCCACAGATGGCTTTAGCGGTGTGTAGTCACTGATATCCAAACTGGTATGTGGCAGCATATGTCGTTAGTGGTGTGTCGCCAAAGATGTCCAGATTTGTTTGTGGCCACAGATGTCGTAACCTGTGTCAGGTCACAGATGTCGTAACAAGCATGTGGCTACAGATGCCGTAACCGATGTGTGGACACATATGCCGTAACCGATGTGTGGGCACTTTTGTCGTAACCAGTGTGTGGCCACAGATGCCGTAAACGGTGTGTGGACACAGATGCCGTTACCGATGCGTGGTCACTAATGTCGTAAACGGTGTATGGACACAGATGCCGTAAACGGTGTGTGGTCACATATTACGTGACTATTTGTGACTCTACTTTTCAGATTTTCAAATTGTTTTCATTACAATGCTTTTATCATTTCTGTTCGTATTTATTACATTTACTTTAAAGTTGCAACATCGATGCACACTCAAGAGAACAGGATACAAATATTTTATCAAGTCTGTGCTTGAATGGTAAATACTTTGATACGACATAAAGCCTACTTCTTTTTCGGATATAAAGGGATGTTCCGTATCAAACATTAAAACAATAAACATGGTATGATTTAGGCTTCTAAATCGTGCTCGCGTTTATCACATTAATTATGCATCACGTGATCGGGATATAGAATACATGATTAGCAGTCCTTTGGCCGGTAACTTTTACTTGTGAAAGATATATTTCATTTTTATCTTATAATGTCTTGTGAGTAATGTTTGATGGTATATTTTTAAAAAATACCTTGATTAAGACATGCTTTAAACAGTCATTTTCTGATATATTAAATGACAATAGTGAAAGAGCGCTTAGCAATACAAGGGATATTTCATTGTTTACTAACCGATATAAACGTGTTGTTTGTCAGTCTGTAGCAGTGAGAAAATCAATCAAATAAAATCTTCCCGATGATTGAACTGAAAACATAAAACAAAACATACAAAGTCCATCCAATAGAGGCCTTCTAAGTCACCGGAAGTGGGGGAACCTCGTCACGATTTCGTTATTTCGCTACAGTAGAGTACACTTGTATCATATCTTCTTGTGATCGGCCGTAATCACGCGCTCTCACCACCGTAAACCTCAGTTATGTTCCTCTAATCCAAAGTAATAGGGTTTCGTCTGCGGATAGCTTTAATGTCATTCTGAAACATTACGGGAGGAACTTCGCGAAGAAACACTTTTATTTCACTTTTCGTACAGGGAGCTCTTACCGTTAGAATAGATTAAACCTTACAGCATTTTCAAGATGTTTATTTCCTAATTGTTGGTGAGTACAATGAAATAAAACTATTTATGGGTTTCTAAAAATTCCAAATTCAGATAAACGTTTCACTAAGGATTCTAACGTGTATTGACCTGACGCTGTTGTAAAATATGTAAAATATACCAGTCTGTAACATGTGACAATATTTACCAGAGGAAGATAAATCCACCGAAACAAAGCCATGGTAGATATTACTTATTGAGAGTCCTAGCTCTCTGTGTGAGAGTCCTAGTTCTTAGTGAGAGTGTAAAAGTGTAAAATAATATTTTTTTATTATTAGAAAAGGCGAGAATTAAGGAAATCGTAAAGAAAACAAGACTATTGATATTCTTCCATATCGAATCTACTGGTGCTGTACATTTTCACGAATTTTGGTATTTTTAGTAGAACCTCACATTTCCATCAACAGTATTTAATGTCAATGTCGTTTATGTAGCTAAATCATGACTTACAAGAAAAAAATCGACACT